CATCGGAATATATGTGTTCATACGCCATACCTGTTACATTATGTAGGTTCATCGGAATATATGTGTTCATACGCCATACCTGATACATTATGTAGGTACATCGGATAATATGTGATCATACGCCATACCTGTTACAGTATGTAGGTACATCGGAATATACATTATGTATGTGTGCATACACAATACCTGTTACAGTATGTAGGTTCATCGGAATATGTGTGTTCATACGCCATACCTGTTACAATATATAGGTACATCGGAATATATGTGTTCATACGCCATACCTGTTACATTATGTAGGTTCATTGGAATATATGTGTTCATACGCCATACCTGTTACATTATGTAGGTTCATCGGAATATGTGTGTTCATACGACATACCTGTTACAATATATAGGTACATCGGAATATATGTGTTCATACCCCATACCTGTTACATTATGTAGGTTCATTGGAATATATGTGTTCATACGCCATACCTGTTACATTATGTAGCTTCATCGGAATATATGTGGTCATACGACATACCTGTTGCAATATATAGGTACATCGGAATATATGTGTTCATACGCCATACCTGATACATTATGTAGGTACATCGGAATATATGTGTTCATACGCCATACCTGATACATTATGTAGGTACATCGGAATATATGTGTTCATACGCCATACCTGTTACATTATGTAGGTTCATCGGAATATATGTGGTCATATATACGCCATACCTACCTGTTACGTTATGTAGGTATATCGGAATATATGTGTTCATACGCCATATCTGTTACATTATGTAGGTACATCGGAATATATGTGTTCATACGCATACCTGTTACATTATGTAGGTACATCGGAATATATGTGTTCTTACACAATACCTGTTACATTATTGTAGGTTCATCGGAATATATGTGTTCATACGCCATACCTGTTACATTATGTAGGTACATCAGAATATATGTGTTCATACGCCATACCTGTTACATTATGATCATGCAGATCTTAATTATACCCATTCAGCATGGTCGCCACATGTTATCATACGAAACAAAATGACTCAAATATATTAGATAGTCATTCTCATTTTCATTTTTTTTTCTCCATGGAAAGTAAAATAATTTCATGAAAACAATGACTTTCTTCATCATTGGAGGCGGCAGGACGCGTACGTCGGGCGCGTGCCCGAAGCGTTGCGGGTTCGAGTCGCGTCACGGCAATGTGTTGTATCTTTAAGCAAGATACTTTAATCCGCTTGTTCCAGTTTACTCAGCTGTAAATGAGTACGTTGTATGGTAGTGCCAGAATTGTTGAATGCTAGCTGTGAGCGCCGAAATGGCAGTACCTGCTGTATGCTCTTCAGGGAGTTGAGAAAGATATTAGTTTGCTGAAAGGCCCTGTAACCACGGATACTTATTTGTGAGCCGCTTTGAGACGACCTACGAACTAGATTGTGATGAAGATGAATATAAGAACCTCGAATTATTATTGTTAATAATATTATTAAATACTTACCTTTGTTGTGTTGGTGGCGATAGGACGGTCTAGTCAGGTATTGATAACGTAGTCATCGATGGCCGTGTTGGAATCGCAGTTATCGTTACTCCCTACTACACCTGTGCAAGTAGTATGTGTACGACCTCGGTTATAGGGACGCCCAATCGACCCAATTCAACTTTATTCTCTTTCACAATACAATGTATAGAGAAACATATTTACAATATAATATATAGTAATTGTAGTGTTCGTAGTCGGTAGTACACCCGGAAAAAATAATATACACACGACATGTAGAGCTTTGTAACACACACGTAACAACAGGTAAACAAGTCATAGACCGTATGAACGACCTATTTATCTATAGGTTTTAAAACAATAGACAGTAATGGTTTAACTGGGACATACATGTAATCTAATGAGGAAGCTTGTACTGGAGACAGCTTTTCAAAAAATAAAATGTTTTGTTTACAGAATTCCTCTCCCGCTGCGGGCAAAACGCCAGAAAATTCCTCTTATTTCGTATTCAATATTCTTTTTTCTTTATACGTGTGACACGATTTGGCAAGGGTGTTTCTGTGTACAAGGTAGCTCAGTTTGTTAAAATGAAATATAATTATCCGAGATTAAAGGTTCGATTCTTTCTCTGGCCTCGTTGCATTTTTTAAACCAGAACTCTGTTGTAGATTCGTTCTTTATAAAGAATCCCCAAGGTGTGGATTTCTGTTCAGAATTGATTTATCAAGGCTATAGGCCGTGCCAGGGGGAAAATTGTCTTTTGCCCAAATTGTCCCTTTATAGTTAAGATCCAGAAAGATCAGGACCTTAAAGAAATGTCATACAAAATCGGCCTTAAGATAGTCATATAAAAATGTATTGAAGACATTTATATACATCACGTATTGGTTTTATCACATTCCTAATATACGTTTTATTTGTGATACAACCAGTACTAGTGTTCATGGAAAGCAAAACAAGGTTCTGTTTTTCATCTGTACCATGTCATATGGTATTTAGTATTGCGACAGTAGGTGAATAGCTGTTTGGACTTTCTCCTTAGGCACCTGGCCTTAGATGATGAAAAGTGTAACCCCCCACCCCCCCCACCCCCC